CTCCTTGGCCTCCTTGATCAAGAGGACAGGTGACCCACCACAATTAGAGGACATTTTGAGAGATGCTCATAGTCCCCTGGAATGAGTCGACCTAGGAGGGCAAGGAGCAAAAACTGTCCTTTACGTCCCTCTGACGTAAACATCCAAGAAGGTTAGTTCCACCAGTCTGGTACTTTTAATTGCTGTGTGTCATGTAGATAAATCTTAGGCAAAGACCAGTTGTTATCAGATAAACTTTACCTAGACATGTATTTCTTGGTCTTGTATGTATAATTTGTCAGTAGGTTGTTGGACTAATATGGTTCCCTCTGGTTTTTAAAACTAGCTAGGCATTATTTATCTCTTGCATTATCTAGCCCCTCCATCATGGTTTCCTCAATTAAGGTGCCTCTATTTTTCCCCCTTTCTCCCTTAATAATACCCTTCTCCTATGGTCCTACCTCTCTTGAGCTCCTTCTTTCCCTTTATCCTCTATGTTCCTTGTATACCCTTCCCTCCCCCCTCCCTTAAACTAACCCAATTTTTATCCATATCTGCCTTATTAAGGCCTGTTGCTACTACTGTTCTCTTTCAGATTCTTTCTTTTCCTTTACCTCTGGTTCCTTTCCATTCTCCTGGTTCCTGTAGTTATGTCTGGATATATACTCACTTATCAGGGTCTGGTTCTAGGATCCACATATGAGGGAGAAAATATGTTGATTTTTTTTCTGAGTCTGTGTTACTTCACTTAGTTTAAAAGTTTCTACTTCCATCCCTTTACCTGCAAATTTCATGATTTCATCTTTCTTTACTGCTGAGTAAAACTCCATCGTGTAAATGAACCACATTTTCATTATCCACTCATCAATTGAGGGACACTTAGGTTGCTTCCATCTCTTAGCTAATAGTGAGTTCCAGGAGAGCTGGGGCTACAGGGAGACCCTGTCTCAAAAAGACCAAACAAAACAAAACAAAACAAAAAAATGTGCTTTCCCCTTTCTCCACATCCTAGCCAGCATTTGGTATCATTTGTTCCCTTGATTTTAGCCAGTCTTATTGGGGTAAGGTGATACCTTAGGGTAGTTTTAATTTGCATTTCCCTAATTACTAATGATATTGAACACTTTTTGAGATGTCTTTGCCATCTTTATTTCTTCCTTTGAGAACTGTTTACATCTTTAGCCCATCTTTTAATTGGGTCATTTGGTTTCTAGATTCTTTGTTTTTTAGTTCTTTATATATTCTGCATGTTAAACCTCTGTCAGATGTGTCGCTGGTGAAGATTTTCTCCCCTTCTGTGGGTTCTCTGTTCGCTTCCCTGGTTGTCTCCTTTGATGTACAGAAGCTTTTTAGTTTAATGAGGTCCCATTTGTTAATTCTTGCCCTTGTTTCCTGAGC